TGCGTTTCTTGAAGCTGTGGTGGCAGATCGCATTGTAGTGGTTGCGTCAAGGTTGCTTGGTGCAGCGGCTGCATGCGTAATACTATTGTCTTTTGCAGCTGAAGATCGTAAATCGTATTGGAATGGCTGCGTCCAGGCTGCGAAAGTGAATTGTCAGCAGATTTTCTCAATTTTGGCGCTAATAATTTTCCTTTTAAAATTCCTTTTAAAAAGTGCTTCAAAATCGTCTTTTTGTCGCTTTGGCGTCGAGATGCGGTTTTGGAGCTGCAATTTCCGACGCCATTGCACGTAGTTCTATTGTGTTTTGCAACTCAGTCTCTGCAGATCGCATGGTAGTGGCTGCGTCAAGGTTGCTTGGTGCAGCGGCTGCATGCGTAATACTATTGTCTTTTGCAGCTGAAGATCGTAAATCGTATTGGAATGGCTGCATCAAGGCTGCGAAAGTGATTTGTCAGCAGATTTTCTCAATTTTGGCGCTGTCTTTTTGTCGCTTTGGCGTCGAGATCCGGTTTTGGAGCTGCAATTTCCGACGCCATTGCACGTAGTTCTATTGTGTTCTGCAGATCGCATTGTAGTGGCTGCGTCAAGGTTGCTTGGTGCAGCGGCTGCATGCGTAATACTATTGTCTTTTGCAGCTGAAGATCGTAAATCGTATTGGAATGGCTGCATCAAGGCTGCGAAAGTGAATTGTCAGCAGATTTTCTCAATTTTGGCGCTAATAATTTTCCTTTTAAAATTCCTTTTAAAAAGTGCTTCAAAATCGTCTTTTTGTCGCTTTGGCGTCGAGATCCGGTTTTGGAGCTGCAATTTCCGACGCCATTGCACGTAGTTCTATTATTGTGTTTCGCAACTCAGTCTCTGCAGATCGCATTGTAGTGGCTGCGTCAAGGTTGCTTGGTGCAGCGGCTGCATGCGTAATACTATTGTCTTTTGCAGCTGAAGATCGTCAATCGTATTGGAAAATGGCTGCATCAAGGCTGCGAAAGTGATTTGTCAGCAGATTTTCTCAATTTTGGGGCTAATAATTTTCCTTTTAAAATTCCTTTTAAAAAGTGCTTCAAAATCGTCTTTTTGTCGCTTTGGCGTCGAGATCCAGTTTTGGAGGTGCAATTCCTGTTGTGATTATGTACAAGAAAGCTTCTCTGTGCAAAAACTTTTTCTGTAAAAGCTTGCTGTGTGTAAAAGCTTCTCTGTGTGTAAAAGCGTCTGTGTAAAAGTTTCTGTGTGTGTAAACGCTTGCCATGTGTAAAAGCACTGTGCGTAAGTGTTCTGTGTGTAAACGCTTGCTGTGTGTGAAAGCTTGCTGTGTGTAAAAGCTTCTGTGTGTAAAAGCTTGTTGTGTGTAAAAGCTTCTCTGTTTAAAAAGCTTGCTGTGTGTGTAAACGCTTGCCATGTGTAAAAGCACTGGTGTAAGTGTTCTGTGTGTAAACGCCCGCTGTGTGTGAAAGCTTGCTGTGTGTAAAAGCCTCTCTGTGAAGAAGCTTGCTGTGTGTGAAAGCTTGCTGTGTAAAGCTTCTCTGTGTAAAAGTTGTGTGTAAAAGCTTCTCTGTTTAAAAAGCTTGCTGTGTGTGTAAACGCTTGCCATGTGTAAAAGCACTGTGTGTAAGTGTTCTGTGTGTAAACGCCTGCTGTGTTTGAAAGCTTGCTGTGTGAAAAAGATTTTGCGTGTAAAAGCTTGCTGTGTGTAAAAGCCTCTCTGTGTGTAAAAGCGTCTCTGTGCAAAAGTTTTTGTGTGTAAACGCTTGCCATGTGTAAAAGCACTGTGTGTAAGTGAAAGCACTGTGTGTAAGTGTTCTGTGTGTAAACGCTTGCTGTGTGTGAAAGCTTCTCTGTGAAGAAGCTTGTTGTGTGTAAAAGCTTCTGTGTGTAAAAGCTTCTCTGCTTGAAAAGCTTGCTGTGTGTAAAAGCTTCTCTGCGAAAGAACTTGATGTGTGTAGAAGCTTTGTAGTACAAAGTAGTACTGGAACGTGTCTTGTGCAAGCTTTGTAATACAAAGTAGTACTGGGAAGTAGTTTGTGCAAGCTTTGCAGTACAAAGTAGTACTGGGGAGTGCTTTGTGCAAGCTTTGTAGTGCAAAGTAGTACTGGGAAGTAGTTTGTGCAAGCTTTGTAGTACAAAGTAGTACTGGGAAGTAGTTTGTGCAAGCTTTGTAGTACAAAGTAGTACTGGGAAGTGGTTTTTGCAAGCTTTTGTATTAGACATCAGTACTGGGAAGTACTTGACATAAAAATAGCCAAGAAGAACTTAGCTGACATATGGGAAGGCATGGGATGAGATGAGAAGAGCTCAGATGAGATGAGTTGAGACGAAGTGCAAGTGTGAAGTGTGGAGTGTGGGGTGTGAAGAGTGCAATGTGAAGTGTGAGGAAAGTGTTTGCATTGTACCGGGGACGCGTGCAGGTCATGTTCTTGGACAACAACATTGCAACAGCTTCGCACAAAGCACGCACGCACAGGCCTGGCTGGCGCACTGCGCATGCAAGTTCCTTTCTAGTAGTATTGGGAAGTCATTCATGAAAGCTTAGATGACATATGAGAAGAGATGAGATGAGAAGAGCTGAGCTGGGATAAGGTGCGAAGAGCTCAGATGAGATGAAGTGTGGGGTGTGAAGAGTGCAGTGTGAAGTGTGAAGTGTGAAGTTTGGAGTGTGAAGGGAGCAGTGAGAAGTGAGAAGTGTGAAGTGTGGACTGTGAAGTGTGAAGTTTGGAGTGCGAAGAGTGCAGTGTGAAGTGTGAAGTGTGGAGTGTGAAGTGTGAAGTGTGAAGTGTGGAGTCTTAAGAGTACAGTGTGAAGTGAAGTGTTGACTGCGAAGGGTGCAGTGTGAAGAGTGCAGTGTGAAGGGTGGAGTGTGAAGTGTGCAGTGTGGAGTGTGAAGACTGCAGTGAGAAGTGCGAAGTGCGAAGTGGAGCTTCAAATGTGACATGTGAAACAAGACACCACTTTCGCAGAGTGCACGCACGCACGGGCTTGGCTGGCGCACGGCGCATGCAAGTTCTATAGATGAGAAAGGTCTTATATATATCTTTAAGGCAACTTCCGCCCCGCCTCGTTCGGGTACTACTGGTAGTAGGTAGTAGTAGGTAGTAGTAGGTAGTAGTAGGTAGTAGTAGGTAGTAGTAGGTAGTGGTAGGTAGTAGTAGGTAGTAGTAGGTAGTAGTAGGTAGTAGGTGGTAGTAGTAGTAGTAGTAGTTAGTAGTAGTTAGTAGTAGTTAGTAGTAGTTAGTAGTTAGTAGTAGTTAGTAGTAGTGAGTAGTAGTTAGTAGTAGTTAGTAGTAGTTAGTAGTAGTGAGTAGTAGTGAGTAGTAGTTAGTAGTAGTTAGTAGTAGTTAGTAGTAGTTAGTAGTAGTTAGTAGTAGTTAGTAGTAGTTAGTAGTGGTAGGTAGTAGTAGGTAGTAGTAGGTAGTAGTAGGTAGTAGTAGGTAGTAGTAGGTAGTAGTAGGTACTAGTAGGTACTAGTAGGTACTAGTAGGTACTAGTAGGTACTAGTAGGTACTAGTAGGTACTAGTAGGTACTAGTAGGTACTAGTAGGTAGTAGTAGGTAGTAGTAGGTAGTAGTAGGTAGTAGTAGGTAGTGGTAGGTAGTAGTAGGTAGTAGTAGGTAGTAGTAGGTAGTAGTAGGTAGTAGGTGGTAGTAGTAGTAGTAGTAGGTAGTAGGTGGTGGTGGTGGTGGTGGTGGTGGTGGTGGTGGTAGTAGTAGTAGTAGTAGCAGTAGTAGTAGTAGTATAGTCCGTCGTCGTAGCAGCAATAGTAGTAGTCGTAGTAGTAGTCGTAGTAGTAGTCGTGGTAGTAGTAGTGGTAGTAGTAATGGTAGTTTGCGATTTCTCCACTCCATCTGTCTAAAGTACTGCGCCTGCCACGAAAAAGTGAAGCCAAATCATACGAAGTGCTGCACCTGTTACACAAAATCATCTTCCCAAACCTGAAGATCTGATGCTCCAAAATGCAGCCCCTCTCAGGAAATCAGCGCCCTGACCTCCTAACATCTCTGGTGAACATGTCTGCCAGGCGCAAGCAACTTTGCAGATCCTCTTCAAATCTCCCACACCTACCGTCGCTTTTGAAACTGCTACAAAACTCTCACGTTTAGTTTTGCTCACTTTTGACAAGGTGCACAATCCCTTGCGCCTATCACGCGAAACGAAATCTGAACGTTCAAAAGTGGTCAGAACATGTGGTGCTTTTAACATGTTGACTTGGATATGTGCTTCGCGCCACAAGGGCGTGCACTTTTTCGACATCTCAACCTCCAAAAATGCTCTGAGCATGCGGTGCTTTGCACATTTTGACTTCGAAAATGTGCTTCACGCAACAACTACGTGCACTTTTTGAACATCTCAACTTCCAAAAGTGCTCCGGTGTTGGTGTCTTTTGTATATTTTGGCTTGGAAATGTGCTTCGCGCCACAACGGCGTGAAACTGTTCATCTCTCATCTGCCCAAATGGCTCCGCACCCGCCGCTTTAGGGAGCCTACTTTTCGACCCTTCGGAGCCACAAAACATTGGAAAAACACAGTGTTTCGCCACTTTTCTACCTTTTCGCGCACCTGCATCTTCTTTCTTCTGACGCCGTCTCTTCTCTGATCTTCTTTCTTCTTCGCTTCTCTTCTCTGACTCTTCCCACCTCTGCTTTCCATCTGTCCATATTGTCGGAAGTTTGACTTCTAATTTTCCTTCGATTATATCGTTATATATATATTGTTTAATCCAGTCAGAAGTTAGTCCATGTCAATATTGTCAATCGCCACTCCAAATCCTATAGGGATTCCGCACAGATTCCTCACATGTCATCCATCGGACCTCACCTATCTGGGGATCGATCATTACAGTATCCACCATGGTTTCAACTGATGCTTCGTACCCCAAGAGATCGTGGATCAAAACCCTGGTGCTCTGGTGAATATCAAAATGACTACTACATGGATGTTTATCTAACCCAAAATAACCAAATAAAATATGGAAACCCTTCCAAATGCCTGCGTCGACGCGCGGTCTCCTTCACACGCTTCACCATGGATACTTCGCACTCGCGGACCCATTTGCGCGGGTCGTAGAAGCCTCAGTGGAAAAAAGCATCTGCGACGCGCACCTGGAAAGTCGGAAAAAATCGCCCTATGGAAAATGATGTTCTCACTGAATAAATGGGTGGATTTCCACTTCCATAGTTCTTTCAAACAAAGTAAAATTATGGAGCCAAACATTTTAGTATCTTCCGCTATTGAAATCCCATTGCGCTGCTATAGCAAGAAAACAAATGGTATGGAAAGGTTCCAATTTGCGACGTATGTAATCATGTGATGCCACATGTAGCTTTGCAGGCTTTGCCTACTTAGTGACCAGTGGCATCCCAGCAAAGATTTCTACAAGCTCTTGACTAGGGCCCCTCTCCGAGATTCTTTCCCCTGGTAATCCCCTCTTCCCTTTACTAAACAGCCCCCCAATTGTTAAAACTACTAGAGATTGTCATGTTTGGTAAACTTCAGGTTGGCCCATGCGATTTAAGACACTTATCCCGTTTACACAACAAACTAAAATTCAAGGTGCCGTTTTAAGGTTGGTTGGGGGCGGCTTATTATTAGGGTCCCTGACAACTTTTTTGTTGCAATAGTTTATAAAGATTCAAAAAGGGGTGTTATCCATGTTGAAATGAAACATGTCGATCTTTTATACAGGTTTCGATTATAAGGGGAAAGCTTCCAAATACAACTTTTTGCGATAGTTTCCAGAGATTCTAAACAAGGATTTGGTCGATTTTCAAAGGGAACATGTTGTTTTTTGATTTAGTAGGGTGAAGCTTCGAACGCCAAATTCTTGGCAATATTTTAAGCAGATTTGGAGAAGTGATTTGATCGATTTTGAAATCTTCCCCTTAAGGGGTTTGGATTGTATTATTAGGAAGAAGTTTCTCAGCCTAAATGCTAAATACCCCCAATAACAAAATTTTAAAACTACCCCTGGGGGGACGTTTAGTAGTAGGGAGAAGATTTATTTGGATTGGAACATTGACTTATTGTTGGTCCTCCTCAGCGACTTTTTGCTGGACCACTTTTGTGCCTGACGTTCTTCAAGCAGCTCTTGTTTGGCTTGTCCTCTCCTTCTGGGTTGCCAATCTGGCCCTGCAGGTAGCCTCGGTGGTAGCGGCCAGGTCAAGCTGTTGTACGGGACACCGCTTGGCGGGTTGGGGTCCAGCCAGAAGTAGAACGTGCCAGCTGAGAAAGACGCCCTCCTTGTTCTTGTAGAACTTCAACAGGCCTTCCCAGTAGGCCCACTGCCTTGGCTTCTGCTTGAGCTTAGCATAGCATCTCTCAATGCCTCTCATGATCTTTGCCAGGGTCCTCACGTGTCGGTGTCCACGTTCATCTTCACCACTCCGGCATTCAGGGCCTGCAACATGCACTCGTGCTGCAGTCTCCAGACCCAAACGCAAGCACAT